GAGCACGAGGGTGTACGTCGCGGCGCCGGTAGGGAGACACACGCCGACTCGCCCCCTCCTGCCTACGCCCTGAGCACGAGGGTGTACGTCGCGGCGCCGGTAAGGGAGACACACGCCGACCTCGCCCCTCCTGCCTACGCCCTGAGCACGAGGGCGTACGTCGCGGCGCCGGTAAGGGAGACACACGCCGACTCGCCCCCTCCTGCCTACGCCCCTGAGCACGAGGGCGTACGTCGCGGCGCCGGTAAGGGAGACACACGCCGACTCGCCCCTCCCTGCCTACGCCCTGAGCACGAGGGCGTACGTCGCGGCGCCGGTAAGGGAGACACACGCCGACTCGCCCCCTCCTGCCTACGCCCCTGAGCACGAGGGCGTACGTCGCGGCGCCGGTAAGGGAGACACACGCCGACTCGCCCCCTCCCTGCCTACGCCCCTGAGCACGAGGGTGTACGTCGCGGCACCGGTAAGGGAGACACACGCCGACTCGCCCCTCCCTGCCTACGCCCCTGTGCACGAGCACGTACGTTGCGGCGCCGGTATCTTCAACAGTGGACCTTATCGCTAACCATCTGAGCCGATAGCTCCGCGCCATTGTGACCGGGCGTGCAATGGTCTCAGAGCGGACGCTGCGTGGCGTGACCTGGCTGCGGCCGGGTGTTGGGTGACAGATCACGTGACGCGCCGCCATGAGAGCGCGCTGTCTAGTCTACGGCCTCCTTGGGCCGCGTGCATCGAAGGTCGGCGTTGTGCAATGGCCACAGGTTTTACCAGACAGGAGCATCACTCCCCCAGCTGATGTGGAGATGAATAGTGCTATCAGCGAGCCATTAAATGGGAGGATTCGAGTTGGACATTGACAGCCTTCTAACCAGGCGGTTGTAAGTCTAGGGTATATATATGGAATAAGGATGGGGATAAGGATCTGTCAACATGTGAGTGAACCTAGTCAGTAAGTGGCTGCATGAGGGTCAGAACAAAGGATGGATGTTATTCAGTTAATCTGAAAATGTCGCATGATTCCCCGCCCAGCGTCTTGTCTGCTCCAGAAGGAAGTACAAAAACAGCTCTGCGACACAAAAGCTTGGTCATCAGTGGCTTCCAGAAGACCTGATGGTGTCTCATTAGATGCAAAGAGATGCCTATAAAAATCAGAAGCCCCCACAGGCACACTAAAGATGAGGCCTAAATCAGCGAGACTGGGGGTCATCACTTTTGGCAAAATCCCATGGAAATTTATTGGATAAGGACTAGAATAGAAGGCCTCAGATTTGCGCAGGATTTGGCACTTGGGAATAAGTTAGTGGCGCCCGCCCTAGGCTTAGATGATGTATCAAACATCCATTGATGCAAAACCAGCTGAATGTAGCTGGTCAGAAGAAATGGATGATTTGGTTACTTCCACATGCCCGTTATTTCCATCCGCACTTTCTATCCGCATTTGACAGCATCTGAATTTCGTTTCCCGAGCATCTGTCAAAAACGAAACTACTTGAACGTCTTGCCACAGTACCAAGGCATGATGTAAACCTGGCATGGGCTCAACAAGGAAACGGGCCTTCGAGTATTCAGACTTTCTTCTTTCCCATCCAGACTTGTTGCAAACACGGAACTGAAACTAATCTTTCTAATCGCCGACCCACTGGCATGCATGACTCATCAGCCCCTTCCAAAGCTGATCAGCTGCCGGCAACCCAGCGGCGTCAATTGGGCGACACAAATACTGACGTTGCGTGGCTTGGAGCGAATCTCTGGTTTCCGTCGAAGACCAGCCAGAACCGTAAGCGGATGTTCCTAAAAACCTAAAGAGGGCACATTACAATTTTAACACGTGGTCGGGTGGGGGCAATTTGACCCCCCGAAGGTTTTTCCGGAATGGTTTCCGAACGACGCGGCGTAACCGCACCAAATTTTGCGTAGCTGTGGACAATTGAATGACGGATCGTTTGGTATCAACAATTGAGATGTACTTTGTACGGTTGCTGACCTATGGCAGTTGAAAGTCAGACCTTAGATTCAACAATGTAAATCTCTAGGTAATCGTTCAATCAGAGGCAACAACGGAGCGTTAGACGAAGTCGTACATTTTTTAGATAGCTTCATAGGCAACACGACAATTGAATAAACAAATTCTATTACCTAGGGTCCGTTTTGAGGGTCAGACCAAGGTCAAAACCAATCTGTTTTATTGGTCTAGGGCTTGCTGTATGAGGTAGTTTCTGGTACTCATTTCTAATTTGTTGATGACCGGATATTATATTATATGCATATTATACATCTTCCATGAACTTTTTTAGGAACATATTGCCTAGCGTAATCTTTGCCACTTATTGAAATGCAAAACGCAAAGATGTCTCGTGTTGTTTTGATCACCATGACCTTGGAAAGGTCAAACGAGGTCACTGGCCTTAAATGCGTGTGTGAGCCCTTGCTTAGAGCAGATATCTAGGTTCTGGGGCACTTTGGACACCATTCTTGAGTCTGACCTTGTTTGACCTTATTTGACCTTGAGATCATGACAGGAATTTTGAGCTTTGTTCCAAGTAAATTTCCGTATAGCCCAACACGCCCTGTAAATTTGGTACCTCTAGCGAACTTAGTTTCTGAGATCTCAGGGGTTCACAACTTCCACCCGCCCGTGGTTGCATCATGCCCATGACCGGCCCATGGCTGCATCACCGATGTACATCGCGCATCGCACTTCCAACACCAGGCCGTGTCGGCTACACCGGGCGCGATCACCCGTCCCCCATCCCCCCCCCCCCCCCCCAGTCGCCCGATCCCCCATCCAACCCCTCTCCGGTGCATCTTGACTTGACATGGCTGGCAGATGACAAGTGAGACATGGCGTCGTTTAGCTTTCGAGCTTTATGCATTGCATGCCGCTCAAGAGAAGGAAACAAATCATAACGTGGCTCGACATGCAGTTCCACCTGACTGATCCCGCACCGGTTCCAGTGCGTCACAGACACAGACCGGGGCTTGCTGAGCGCGAGTGGCAAAGTTACCCGATCGAGTGGCTTTTCATGCGACAAAAATGAGGTATTTGCTCCGCCCATGCCATTCCGCATCATCCGGCAACACCAGGCAGGCAATTTTTACCGTGGCAACTGACAGGTAATCATCACCTGCGTCGTAAGCCTATGTGAAAGGAAAGCATGCACCGGGCTCAGTGCTGACATGATCAGTTGGAATGCTGGGCTGAAGAAGAGCCTGTCACAGTTGCGGTGATGTTTTTCTCAGGTGAATGATCGCTCGTGGATTTGCGCCTAACGTGTGTGGAGGGAGCTTACGTGGCTCGCACACGGACGCCTGTCTGGTTCTCAATGTTGGCTCCTGGTTTCCACTCGCCCCTTCGTGACGAAACCCAGGCCGGTTCCCAGCAGTTCTTTCCTTATCGTCAGCTTCTAGTTCCTGTATCCTATCGGTTCTTTCGTGAATACCGAACCCTGGTACCTTGTTATTAATGATGCATTCTCAAAAAACAGGCACTGGATCGTGGTTACTACTGACTTCGCCAGCACCATATCAGCTGGTCCTCAGCTCCACCGAACCTTTCACAAACATCAGACCCCGGATCATGTCAACTATGGTTCTTTCGTAAAGGCCATATCCTGTTCCATTGACACTTTTGCGAACACCAGAGCCTGATTCCTGGTTCACACTGGTCCTTTCACGAAAACACGAGCCTGTTTCGTGGTGCACATCAGTTCAGTCACAGCAAACCATATTCTGGTTCCTGGTTCTCAGTGGCTCGTCCTCCATTTTCTTTATTGTACGGCTCCTCCTGACTGCATGATGGACGACAGTCTGATGGCCAATGGCTCAACTTCATTAATGGCTCATCCCGTGTCTGGCATTGATTACGTAATATTGATTCATGCTCCGTGCATGTGAAAGGTGCAGCACTTTATTGTACATTGGTACCTGACAAGAACTCTGGGGAAGACTACGGTGTGTGATGCTTGCGGGCTCCTTGGACCATCACTATACTGGATCTTGATTGTTGCTGGATCTCACACATAACCGAATCCTGACTGGACCCCAGACTGAGTCGTGGTTCTCGCCGTATCCCTTGACATCATTTCAGCCTGTACTCGAGTTCTTGTCGGATCCATGTGTACACCCCGCGCTGAGCCCGGGTTTTCCTAATATCTCGGCTCAGTGTAAGGCTGCATCCTGGCTATCGCTAGCTTCATTGTGTCGGAAGTGGCCGGCACGCCCACCGTACTGGCTCCTAGCGGATTTCCGGCAATATTTGAAACTGGTCCGCGGGTTCTTCCCTGTTTCAGAGCCAAGAGCCTGGAATCGGTTTCCGGGACAAATTTTGTAAACCACATACGTCCTTGCGTGTTGCAACATACAGTCAACAACAAGCGCATAACAATGTCCGGCATTTATTCACCGGGTCGTGAAAAGCTGAAAAGTTCGTTTATATTAAGATTTTGTCACGAAACTCAGCAGCTGCGAATGCTAGAAGCGGTAACGGTCTCAGGTAAAAAGAGCGGATGGTGCAATGTCGACGTCATGCAGACCTATTTACGTGCCGTAGAAACACGGACGTAGGGAAACCCGCACCGAGACCACACGTGTTGCGGGAAATATAAATGACCAACCGGTTGCCACACGTTACAGTCACGCTGCTATTTCCCGGGACTTGCGTACAATCACATCTGCTAGTCCGTACACGACTCGGTAAAGGTCGCCGCCTTTGAGGCCCGCTTGTCGTCCCCCGCCGTCAAGCGCGAGCTTTGAAACACCTGGGAGGGGAGCGCAGGCCGCTGACGACATCGCCAGGGCACCTTCAAGGTTCGGAGGGCGTGGCTCGCGGTCTGTTTCACGCGAAATGTGCGCACGACCAACCAGGCCTCGCGCTGTAGCCGGAGGGCGCCGCCGCCGCCGCTCGGCGCACCCCCTGCTCTGGCGGCGCGCGTGCGGCCCCGCCGCGGGAGGACCGGCAGACTGTGCGCGCCCAACAGCCGCGTCACTCTGGCCGGCGGCCGCTCGTGGCGCGGCGGCTGCTGTTGGCGCGCGCTGATCAGTGTCGGCGTGCGGAGCTGGGCTGGCGGCCGAGATCAGGAGCCATGGACGCGGCCCGGCGGGCAGCGCTGGCGGACAAGGGCCGCGTCAAAGGTGGGTGTCCGGCCGGTGGCGGCCAGGGTCGGCCCGCCGCCGCCGCCGCCGCCGCCGCCGCGCCGTCCATGGCAGTGCGGTGCGGCGCGGCGCGGCCGGCGACGGAGCGCCGCCCCTCTCGTCTCTCGAGACCATGTCGGCAGGTAAGCCCCGGCGCGATGCCGTCACGCGACGGCGGGCTGTCGGCAAATGTCAACCGCGCGCGACCGCCGCCGTCACGTTGTGATGAGCTGAGGGGGCTAAGAGTGTAGAGGGGGGGGGGGGGGGGGCGGAGGCATGCGCGTGCGGTCATGCAGGGCGTATGTTAATGTGTGTGTGCGCGATGTGGTCAGCCGGCGAGCACGCGCCAAGACGGCGGACCCGTGGTATGCGCGCATTTGCATGGGGTCAATGCCCGCCGCGCCTCACCGAAGCCGCAGCCTGCAGACCCAAACCGCCCCTGTTGCCAGCGCGGCTGATGAGGCGCGACCCGAGACGACGTGCGCGACATGGGAGGTCGCGCCTGCTGCGAAAGCGGTCCTGGAGCGCGCGACGCGCGGGCTCCTCTCCGGTCGTGCCGCCGAACATCTCGTGCTCCAGCACTGCGTCCTCTTAATCGGCTTGGCCGCTTCAAGGTCTCCACAGTCGTGGGGACATGCTTTTTGCACGAGTTCTGGATTAGGCGGCTCCGCCAACAACGTGGCCGGGACGGCGCACGGTCATGCGGTGTCGTGATGGGTTAGTGCTGCTTCGAGCGGATATCTGCCGGCCCTCGCATTCGACCGTATAGGTGTAGTGGGCGGGCGCAGGCATGGTGCACAAACACGCATGGGCGCTGCCAGAATCTAGAATGTGGGGACCAACATGATTTGCGACGAGGAGGCGTTAATTTTTAACGGGTGAGTCCCAGCCTCATTGGTAGTACTTACACATTGGGAACAGACCTATAGACCCCATAGACGCGAACAGGTATTGTATACAAGCGTAACAAGCATATTGATGAGCTATCGATGTCGCTTTGCGTTGATTTCAAAATTGTTTCATCTGCCTATCGTACACATTCACTCGGCTGGCCACTTGTCTTGTTACCAAATTATGGCGCTGTTGGACTCTTTATGTCGCAGCCTTTGGTAGTTTCTATGAAATTTAAAACAAAAATAGCTTCCTGATTACCCGATTCCGGAACCATGATCGAATGTTGCGGTGAAAAACTGCGCTGTAAACTGACGCAAGGGGAGGGGGCTTAAGTCCCATGAGCCTCCATCACCCCCCACCCCTCATCGTCTCCCTTTAGTGGCGCCACTACAAAGGTGACAGGTTTCATTACAGTAGGTACCTGGTTTACTCCTGCCATATGATGTGTATCCAAACGTAGTGCCAATGCGCCATACATGTACCAAGTTGGTTGTGCGCCGCTCAGATAAGCGTAGTTGTCTGCATCTATGCATGTACGGCCAGTGTCGCCGTGGTGCTCGCGTTTCGGTATTGACAACGAAAACGCGCTAGGGAATCGACTCATTTCGAAGCATTCTTTATCGAATTTGCACGTATCAAAACACTATCGTCACCGGACAGCTTGTTTCATTGGATTTCCCCAAATGCTGCAGGTTTGTCCGAAGACCTAACGGAAGAAACCCAAATGACAGTGAACAGACGAGTCTTCTCGGAGAGCTTTATGCGAGTGAAAGTCAGCCCGTAGTGTTACGGACTCCCCGCACCTCTGTGACGTCACATCCCAGCACTGCCTCGCCAGGGAGGTGTTAAGGCACCGTCCTGGACTAGGCTGTTGGGCCAGCACACTCGCCTTCCGCTCGTACCCGATCCTCTTCGCAGAGGGAACCGTTAAACGAAGGAGCTCGCTTGCTGTTCGAAAGCGTTTTGGCTGGCTGCCGTTCATAAACCCATACAGGGCTGTTATATATTTATCGAAGGCTGGCGAGAGGTAAATATTTTTCACCGTTGTCGAGGGGGAGGCTTAAGCCTCTGGATCTTGATACCTGCCCATGATTGTTTACCTCATGTTCAGACATTTTAGATGCAACATCAGTGTGTGTCTGAGACCTTCAAGTTATCCATAGAGCACGCTTTCATCCTTTGCCTTTTGGACACTAATTATTACATGGCTTCAAAGTTGAGTGTAAAACGTTTGAAGAGATTCAAGAAGATGCATGTGATTGGAATATCCCTAACCCTAATAAACCTGCCTTTCATGCCGCCACATATGTAAGGCGCACTTGCACACGAGTCAGAATCGAGTCCGCTTTCTCGCCAGAGGAAGGACAGAGTTGACTCCTACTACATCGCACAAGGTTATTCGCATTGTAATTTCATGCTGTCATGTTTGTAAACGTCGTTGACTGGTCACCAATGAAACACTCATTTGGAAAGATGCGGTATGTACTGCAGTAAACAATGCACATGATCTTTAACCTTTGAGCTAACTTTATCAGTAACGGGGAAAACGACCAGTGACATAGCCAGGGCGTCACCAGCGGGCATTTGGACTATTGAAGGTTAAGTGGGTCTCCCTTGCGACCAAGCCTGTCCCTGGGACCGAAGGCCCCTGGGGGTCCCTAGAGCAGGGGGAGTAAAGGTCTCACTGGTTTGGATAGTTTAAGGTGACGGACGGGCACCTTATATACTCTCAGTGTACTTAAAATGTGCAAGAAGGCCTGCTGCAAACCATGAAAGAGTCCCGTGCATAGGCTTGTACGACCTTTCGGGACTCCTTACGAGCCCTCTGATAGGGACTGAGTACTTGTCTTCAAAAGACCCTCCGCCCTATAAAGGTTCCAAGTCGGTTTTCGGAGGGGCCCCCTTCCGACTTGTAAGAAAGCTACGTTCGGCATTAGAGATACTACCCGTCGGCTTGTGACAAGAGTTTTCGAATTCTGTTTGGAGCGTAAAGGGGCCTCGTGTTACCCATTAAGATGATACTACCGGCCTGAGAAAGGCAATCTGCTAAAGTGGCAGGAGTGTTTTTGCGAACTAGTGTAGACTTCTCACCGCTGCGATGGACCACTGTACAGGTAGACAGGGTGTGTCTGTATCGCCCCACGGGGGGGGGGAGGGGTATAGATCGGGTGGCGAACCCTCCAGAGGCTGGCAGAGATTCCCAATGGTAGCAGCCCTCTAAACAAGCAGTGGGCCTCCAGTAGGCTAGTAGGTGTCCTTGACAGTGGTATTGCTAGGATTTTGTCCGTGACAGCCAAATCGGATCATACGGAGCCCTTCCAGCCCATCAAGTCAGCAAAACCGGGCTCATAAGCGACGAAGAGATACTCTTTTCGTTGCTTGAAAACGTTATTTTGGAATTGGCTTGCTTAGGGTAGTGATCTTATTTTGAGGTGTGGGGACCGTTTGGTGTATTTCAGAAGCCCTGCGCGCGTCCTAAACGACAAACAAGTACTGAGGCCATCAGGGGCCCTTTATGCAAGTGGGCTTCCTAGAAGTGTCCCCAGGCCTCTTTCTGGCAAGGAGTTCTAAACTCTCATCCAAGGAGGTCCTGCTTGCCGATAAAATCCTCTTGACACCTGTAAGCGGCACACGCTGGCCTGCAGGAGGTCGATGAACCCTTGTTGGCGTGTAAACTGGTTCTGTGCTGAACTGCGTCCTGTTGGAGAAGAACCCCCCCCCCCCCCGCTCTCTCAGGAGGTGCTTCTTTCCCAAAAGGTCTTCCTTGGTATCTGAGTGCGCTGTTCATTTGTATTTGCCGGTTCACGCCAACGGTTAAGGCTAACCTCTGTCCGGGAGCACATCGTGAGATTATGCATGCATTGCGCATACGCATGCATAATTCATGCACTCCCGCACCTCTGGCCTTGTGTGTTTTTTGTACTTGAACATTCCAGCGCCAAACCAGTCGTATATTCCAGCGCCAAACCAGTCGTATATTCCGGCGCCAAACCAGTCGTATATTCATCCGCCAAACCAGTCGAATATGTGATCGCTGGAGGCTGCGCTTCGTAAACGCAAGTCGCAAGTCGAAAACGCAAGTTCAGTTAGCATGGTATAATTTTTTCCGGTCAGGATAGTGAAATCTCTCCCAGCTAGGATGACAGAACATTATTTGAGCCTTTATGGGTGGGATGGAAGAATCTCTCCAGCTCGATGATAAGATCTCTCCAGGTAGCATAGAAGCATCTCTCCAGGTAGGCTGGTAAGACCTCTTTAGCTGGATGCTAGCATCTCTCCAGGAAGGATGGCAATATCTCTCCAGGAAGTATGCTCAGGTGCGATGTGTAGAGATATGAAAAGGTTACATTTTCAGAGAGGCCGAGAGCCTGCCATGGCGCGTCGCTCTGTTCTCGCGAGCGAGATCCTTCAAGTTCATCTACCACTGACCAAGACCGCGACGATCCTTAGCATTCTCCAGGTTAGTTCATGACATTTACATGTTTAGCTTTGTGACAAAGAAAGAAAAATGGGGAAGCCACTACGTTTCGAAAGAAAAGAAACTTTTGGAACGGCAGCCGTCCGTATTTGTTTACCCCCACGGGCAATATTTAGGTCCCGGAAACACTCCGTATGAAGCGCGGTACCTGACCGCACGGAGAGATGGGTGTCACACGCTCTCCACTTGAACCGTCCTATTACGTCATTATTTAACGTTAACAACATTTTTGAAATTTGATCCACTAATCAATACTAACATCCTTACAGTTACATGCATAATTGAAAAACACTATGGCCAGCTCCGTAGGACACAGCAACACCATCACATATTATCATCGCATCACATGCATCCTTATTGTCCACATCCCACAGTTAAGTAGTGACAGTTGTCAATTTTATCACGCGAGCTCATCCTCCTCCCACCCCCCTCCGCCTCCCTTATCCTTTCGGTGAACGTGTATCCTATCGATAGTATGCCCTTTTGTGGTCGTTGTCACGTGCGCGTGCCTTGTATACGAAAGAGAACTAGAATCCACTAAAACCTCGCATTAGTTTTTGTAGCCGCTCATCTTATCCCACCCCACAAAATGGCAAAAAAAAAAACCAGTAGGATCAAACAAGCAATA